TATGGGTGGGGAGGAAAGAAACAGAGAGAGAGAGAGAGAGAGAGAGAAAGAGAGAGAGAGAGAGAAGAGAGAGAGAGAGAGAGAGAGAGAGAGAGAGAGAGAGAGAGAGAGAGAAGAGAGAGAAAGAGAGAGAGAGAGAGAGAGAGGAGAGAGAGAGGAGAGAGAGAGAGAGAGAGAGAGACACAGCCAGACGAAAGCAGAGATATATAGCTATTTGTGTTCGTAAATCCAAACGCAATCACGCAATCACACAAACGTTTAGTCAAAGGGAGGAGCGAGGGGACAATGGGTAAGAGAGGGAGAGAGGGAGAGAATGAAGGAGGGAGAGAGGGAGAGGGAGAGAATGAAGGAGGGAGAGAGGGAAGAGAGAGAAATGAGGAGAGAGAGAGAGAATGAAAAGGAGGGAAGAGAGGGAAGAGAGGAGAGAATGAAGGATGAGAGAGGGAAAGAGAGAGAGAATGAAGAGGAGAGAGAGAGAAAAAAAGGGAAAGGAGGGAGAGAAAGATGTGTGGCATGTGTGTGTGTGTGATTATGTTTGTGTGTGTGTATGTAGGGACGGGGTCAGAGAGAGACGTAAATTAAGGGGAGTGGGTTGGAAAGAGGGTCAGAGGGGAAGGTAAAGTGATGGACGAAGGATGGGAATGGAAAGGTAAGATTAAGGGGTAGGGTGGAAAAATGAGCCAGAGAGAAAAGGTAAGAGAAAGGGTAAAGGTTGAAAAGGGGTCAGAGAGAAAGGTAAGATTAAGGGGTAGAAAAGGGTCAGAGGGGAAGGTAAATGATGGAAGAAGGGTGGGAATGGAAAGGTAAGGGAAAGGGTAAAGGGTGGAAAAGGGGTCAGAGAGAAGGTAAGTTAAGGTAAATGGTGAAAAGTGGTCAGGGGGAAGGTAAAGTAATGGAAGAGGGGTGGGAATGGAAAGGCAAGAGAAAGAGTACAGGGTGGGAAAGGGTCATTAGGAAGGGTAAAGTAAGGGCAGACGGGTGAAGAACGGGTCATGAGGGAAAGGTAAAATAAGGGTATAAGGATGGACTGGGGTTATGTGTGAGAGTAAAATAATAAGAAAAAAAAGATCAGAAAATGCTACAAAAAATAATAATAAAATAAGGAAAATGGGCAAAGGAGAGGAGAGGGTTAGTTAAGAAGGATATATAAAAGGGGTCAAAGGTCACAATAGGGAAAGACCGAGCAAGGGAGGGAGGCGGGGCGAAGGGGAGGGGTGAGGTGGGGGGGGAGGGATGGGGGGCTGTTGAGGGGATTCCAACCGGATTTATTGACCTTCAACACGACCCTCCGAGACGAAATTAACAACGCGGCGGGAAATTTCGAGAAGGGAGAGGAAGAAGAATGGGGCTGCGAAGGGAAAGAGGGATGAGAGAGAGAGAGAGAGAGAGGGAGGGAGAAGGGAGGGAAGGGAGAGAGGAGGGAGGGAGGGAGGAGGGAGGGAAGGAGGGAGGGAGGGAAGGGAGGAGAGGAGAGAGAGAGAGAGAGAAGAGAGAGAGAGAGAGAGAGAGAGAGAGAGAGAGAGAGAGAGAGAGAGAGAGAGAGAGAGAGAGAGAAAAGAGACAGACCAGACAGACCAAACAGAGTCAGACAAAACAGAGACAAAACAGAGACAACAACAGGAAGAGAGATAGAGAGAAGGAGACACCGGACAAGAGAAAGAGAGAGAGAGAGAGAACGGAGAGTTTCACCCTCGGGAAATATATGTTCCTGTGTTTACGTTCGCATAAATCCTACGGTCCGTAGACGGTATCCGAACCCGCCGACCTGTCCAGACACCCAGGTATGACGGATACAAGTGGGTGGGTGTTTCATTTTCCTTCTTTGTTCGAGGAGAATGGGGGAAGAGGCGAAGGTAGGGAGAGAGGGAGGGAAGGGGGGTTGAAGAGGGAGGGAGAGAGATGGGAGGGAGGGAGGGAGGGAGGAGAGAGAGATGAGGAGGAGAGAGAGAGAGGAGGAGAGGGGAGGGAAGGGAGGGAAGGAAGGAGTGAGAGAGAGGGAGGGAAAAGAGAGAGAGAGAGAGAGAAGAGAGGAGAAAAGAGAGAGACATAACAGTCAAAATACAGATAGCAGTAACAAAAAAAAAAGAAGACAGCAAAGGAGACAGATCAAGAGAGAAGAGAGAGTAAAGGAGAAAGAGAGAGACAGAGAGGAAAGAGAAAGAGAGAGAGAAGAGAGAGAGAGAGAGAGAGAGAGAGAGAGAGAGAGAGAGAGAGAGAGAGAGAGAGAGAGAGAGGGAGAGACAGAGATAGAGAGAAAGAAAGAGAGGGAGAAGGGAGAGAAAGAGAGAGAGAGAGAGAGAGAGAGACAGAGAGACACGAGAGAAACGAGAGAGAAGAGACACGGAAAGGAATTATTCTATCCGAAGCAATTTCCGTTTTTCTTTACCACAGGAATTTTCTCTAAGTGGACACTTCTTCCCGTTTTCTCTCCTCTGTCTTTGAAGATCTCTCACGGCTGAAGTGTTGCTGAAATGTTTTTCCCGGATAAGTGGTTCTGTGATCTTGCCCTTCCCAGACACTATCCATCCTCTTGCACTCATTCCCTAAGTTTTTTTCCCCCATTCTTCCCCCTACCCACTATCTCCCTCTCTCTTAACCCCAGCTCCCTCTCCCTATGACAACTTCTCCTCTCTTACCCCCAGCCTCCCCCTCCCCTACCCAACCTCTCCTCCCCCCTACCCCAGCCTCCCCCTACACCCTCCTCCTCCAATCCCCCACTTACCCATCCTTCCCTCAACCTCTCCTCCCCTCCCTCCTTAGTCTCCCACTCCCTTACTCCAGCCTCCCCTCCCTACCAAAACCCCTCCACCACTTACCCATTACCCATCCCTTTCCCCTCCCTCCCCATCCCTTACTGAATGTTATTTTCGACAGATTCTAGCACCATCACACAACACTGTACTCTCCTTCATCGTCACTATCTGATCCATCTATTTCTCATTTTAGCGAATTTGCTTTTAATTTTGATACATAATAATACCCTTAATCCCTGCCATATAAACTATATACTACAATCATCTTTTTTGTTTGTTTGTTTGTTTTTTGCCAAAATATAATCACCATACATCAGCTCTATCTTCACCATATAAACCATATATTACACGACAACGAATCACCATAGTTTTTCTTTCACTCTATCTCGCGAACCGAAAAGCCATATTCTGAGTATAATATTTCTCATCCTTTTCATTATAAGGGGCATTCGTTATAGCTTATTTTAGAAACAAGAACACTAAGATCGACCTAAATCTTCCCTTTTAAACACCTACTTTACATAATTTTTCTTTATAAACTACACATCACATATTAACATACATCGCTTTACTCGACTTTAAACTAACTGCATAAATAGTTTACTAAACTGTGGATATGAACATATTCCACCATTATCCACACTGTATAAACCACTCGAATATCGTTATAGATCACCATACTTGACCTCAGCGTTACCAGACATCGCTAACCACACTCTGAACATCATTAAAGAGCATACTCGACTTCAGCATTAACACATGCCTCGCACCACACTCTAAACATCACAACTAAACATCACCACTCTAAACATCACCACACTCGCTATTAGCACCATACATCGCCCATAAACATCACCATACATCACCATACGCCTTTAGTGTTACCACACACCGACCACCACACTCTGAGCATTCCCTAAACATCACCACACACATTGTCAACCACACTCTAAACATCACCCTACATCAACATACTCGCCTTTAGCGCTACCATAAGCACCACACACCACACTCTGACCATCACCACACTCACCTTTAGCGCTACCATAAGCACCACAAACCACACTCTGAACATCCCCAAACATCACCACACTCACCTAAACATCACCACACTCTAAACATCACCACACTCACCTTTAGCGCTACCATAAGCACCACACACCACACTCTAAACATCACCGCACTCACCTTTAGCGCTACCATAAGCACCGCTCACCACACTTCTCGCCACCACAGCAGCCAATGGAAAGGGCGGGCCGTTAACTTCACACCCATAACATATTTCGTTCATAAAACCTGGAGTCGTAAAATATAAGAAACCTGACTTTTCGTACAAGGCTGATAACGACTTTTTTGGGGGGTGAGTTTGTTCCTCTTTCTTCTCTTTCTCTCATTCTGTTTAGGTATTTCTTATTTTCGTTTTGTTTGTCTGTCTCTTTCCTTCTTCTTTTTTCTTTTGTTCTGTCTTGCTATCTCTCCATAATTTGTTTGTCTTTCTCTTATATTTTTTGTCTCTCTCATTTAATGTCTTGGCGTCTCTCCTCTCTCTCATCTCCTCTCTCTCTCTCTCTCTCTCTCTCTTCTCTCTCTCTCTCTCTCTCTCTCTCTTCTCTCTCTCTCTCTCTCGCCTCTCTCTCTCTATCTTCTATCTATATATCTGTCTATTTATCTATGTATTTAATTTCTCTTCTATCTGTCTCTTTCTGAAAATAATGGCAACAATAACATCAGGACCAACAAGAACAGTGCTGATAATAATGAAAATAATGATATCAATGATAACAATGATAACACACTACTAATAACAACAAAAAGATAACGATAAATGATAATAAAAAACCTGAAATTACAAAATCAGCAGTTAATTTGAATTTAAAGAAAAACTCCAAATAGATGAAAAATAAGAAATAAAAACAGGAAAGGAACGATACGCGATCATAGAAAGAAAGGAAATTAATCAGAAAACACGAATTAATATCACTAACACTAAAACACAAAACAAAAACAACAAAGACAAAAAAACAACAACAACAACGACAACATAAAAATAACAATAACGAACAACAACAACAACGACAATAAAAACAACGAACAATAAACAACAACAACAACAATAAAAAACAACAACGACAATAAATAACAACAACAACGACAATAACAACAACGACGACACAAAACAAACAACAAACACAACAACAAAAAAACAAAACAACAAAAACAACAACAACAACAACAACCCCACTGTACCTTCGCCAAGTCGTAGGTCCAGGACCCGAACTTCATCTCGCACTTCTGGTCGTCGAAAGGGTACCAAGTGATGTCGATTCTGCAGGTCGACATGAAGATACCCGGCGGGATGTGGGTACAGACACCCGCACTCGTCACCACCACGTTGGTCGGGTACGTGCTGGAGAAAGCCTCGTCAGCGCTGCGGAGGAGGGAGAAGGGGTGGTTAGTTTTTGCTGGGATTGGGGGGGGGGGGGGAAGAGGGAGTTTTTGGTGGGGGAGGGGAGATTTTGGTGTGAAGTTGGGGGGGAGAGGGGAAGATTTGGTGGGGAGTGGAGGAGACGGGAGTTTTTGGTGGGGGTTGGGGGGGAGGGGGAGTTTTTGGTGGGGATTGGGGGGGAGGGGAGTTTTTGGTGGGGGTTGGGGGGGGGGAGGGGAGTTTTTGGTGGGGTTGGGGGGGGGAAGAGAGGGAGTTAGTGGTGGGAGAAGGGGTGGATAGTTTTTGGTGGGGATGGGGGGGAGAGGGGAGTTTTTGGTGGGGATTGGGAGGAGAGGGGAGCTTTAGTGGGGGGTTGGGGGAGAGGGGAGTTAGTGGTGGGGATTGGGGGGAGATGGGGTTGGTGGGGCGATAGTTGCTTAGGGAAAAGATGGGTGGTTGGTGATTGGGGGAAGTGGTGGTGCTGATTGGTAGTGAATGGTGAAAATTAAATGTGTTGTTGTGTGATTGTGGGTGGTGGTAATATATATAATATATATATATATAATATATATATATATATATATATATATATATATATATAATATATATATATATATATATATATATACATATATATATATATATTATATATATATATATATATATATATATATATATATATATATATATATATATATATATATATATATATATATATATATATATATATATATATATATATATATATATATATATATATATATATATATATATATATATATATATATATATATAATTATATATATATATATATATATACTGTATATATTCAACAAATAATATATACAGTATTCAGAAATAAATAATACTGGTAAGTTATACAGTATTACAACGACAATAGCAGCAAATTTCTCTTTACTTTCTTCTCTTCCCTCTCTTTTTCCTACACCCCCCCTCCATCCTCTCCTCTCTCGTCTCTCTCTCTCCTCGTCATCTCTCTCTCTCTCGCCTCTCTCTCTCTCCCTCCGCTACCTCCCTCACACTCTCTCCCTCTCTGTATGTATATGTGATTGTGCAATTAACGTAATCAAGGAAAAAGACTGGAAAGAAATAGTAACTATAACGAAGAAAATAAAAAGACACTAGCAGCTTAACTAGACATTGAGTAAAGAGAGGGAGAAAAAATGAGAAGAATGGTAAGGACAATAACTCAACAAAGGCTAGCAAGCAGAATAGACCTTTAAAGAAGTCAGTAAAAGTTTTGTAATAAAAGAGAGGGAGAGAAAGACAATAACAGTTAGAAGAAGTGATAACCGAGAGAGAGAAGAGAGAGAAGAGAGAGAGAAGAGAGAGAGCAGAGAGAGAGAGAGGGGAGAGAGAGAGAGAGGAGAGGAGAGAGAGGATAGAGGCGAGAGAGAGAGAGAGAGAGGAGAGGAGAGAGAGAGAAGAGAGAGAGAGAGAGAGAGAGAGAGAGAGAGAGAGAGAGAGAGAGAGAGAGAGAGAGAGAAGAGAGAGAGAGACGAGAGAGAGAAGAGAGAGAGAGAGAGAGAGGAGAGAACAGAGAGAGAGACACAGACAGACAGACAGTAAAGAGAGAGAGAGAGAGAGAAAAAGGGGTAAGGGGAAAAATGGAAATAACCGAACTGTGAAGCAATTTCCTAAAACAGAAGAAGGAGAAGCTAAGATGGAAATAAAGTGAGAAAGTTTTAAAGAAGAGATAAAAGAAGACACAGACACCTAAAAAGAAGACAATAGATAGATAAACACTGAGGTAGAGCGATAGAGTGATAGATGGAGAGATAAGTAAACTGTGAGACATGGATGTAGATAGATATGTAAATAAACAGACAGATAGATAGATAAGTTAACGTACAAAGCTTTTCTCGAGCTAAAAGAGAAAGATATATATTTATTCTTCCTTTTCTTACGATAGAGAAAACGTTTCTAGAGGGGATACTACAATATTCTGCGGTCGGTAGGTACGCATGATAAAAAAATATATATATTCGTGGTACGAGATTTAGTTGAAAAGTGTTCCATTTTTCTTTTTATACCGGCAAGCAAAGTCTGTGAAAAAAGCAAAACAGAAGGTTTTTATAAATTCTGAGAATATATAAATCGCTTTTGGTTGTTTGTTTGCCTTTTTTTCTCGATTTCTTTATAAAACATTCATGGATTCAAATACTGCAAATGTTCCTGAGCTGAATAACTGAAGGAGGAAAGGAATCCATGTCCGAGTATCCATGAAATGTTATATGACGTTTCCTTCCGCAAATAATTCATGGGGACTTCCAACAGACTTTGGTTTATAAATGTCGAAAATCCTTTTCTTTTTTTTCTTTCTCTTTTTAATGTTATCAGTTTTTATTTTTTTTTTTTTTTTTTGATGAATATTATGAATCTGATTGCAATGGTTTGCTGTCTCTCAACGATGTCTTTTAGTTATAGTTTAGTTATAGAAACTCTTTTATTTTTATTCATCTTATAAACGTGAATACAAATGTTTGTTGTGTCACACGCAATACATAACAGTACCCATGGGAAGCTTTGAAGAGCAAAAGACGTTTGTAACTATATTACCCCTGTGTTGTACCTTCTCTTTCTTTCTCTGTATCTTTCTATCCCTTCTCTCTCCCCCTCCCTCCCTCTCCATCTCACTCACTCTATCCTCTATCTATCTATCTATCTATCTATTCTCTTTATCTCTCTCTCTCTCTCTCTCTCCTCTCTCTCTCTCTCTCTCTCTCTCTCTCTCTCTCTCTCTCTCATTCTCTCTCTCTCTCTCTCTCTCTCTCTCTCTCCTCTCTCCTCCTCTCTCTCTCTCTCTCTCTCTCTCTCTCTCTCTCTCTCTCTCTCTCTCTCTCTCTCTTCTCTCTCTCTCTTCTCTCTCTCTCTCTCTCTCTCTCTCTTCTCTTCTTCACTTACTCCTGTCCTCTCACTCTTCCTGCCCCCTCGCACTATATCTCTACATATCTCCCTCTCTCTCTCTCTTTCCCTTTCTCCCTCCCTCCCTCTCTCCCTTTCCCTCTGCTCCCCCTCTCTATGTACTTTAATTTTTCACATTCTCCCTTTTCTCTCCTCCCTCCCGCACCCAACTCTTTTCTTTTTCTTTCTTTTCCCCCCTCTCCCTCCATTCCTCTCTCCCTCCCTTTCATCCCTTCCCTCCCTCCCTTCCTTCCCTTCCCCTCCCTTCCCCTCCCTTCCCACCCCACCCCCCCCCCTCTCTAACCCTCACAGATATTGCACTTTCGAAAAATAAAAGACTTGGCAGAGAGGAAGAAGAAAAAAAAAAAAACATGTTTCACCCCTGTAGTTTCAACTGGAGGTTAGTGAGACGGACCGAAAGACCAGCAAAGGGTTCACCATTTTGTTATGGTAGAGGGAGCAAAATGATGGAGAAGCTGGGTGGATGTGGAGTGGGTGAGTGGATGAGGAGTGGTGTCGGGAGTTTATGGGGGAAAGTGGGTGGTTGTGAGTGAGTTGTGTGATGTGGAAGTGGGAGTGAGGAGTGGTGAGGAAGTGGTGTCCGGAGTTATGGAAAAGTTGGAGTGGTGAGTGGATTGTGGAGTGGGTGAGTGGATTGAGGAGTGGTGTCGGGGGTTATGGGAAAAGTGGAGTGGGTGAGTGGATGAGTTTTGGGAAAAGTGGAGTGGGTGAGTGGATGAAGATTGGTGTCGTGAGTTATGGGTGGAAGTGGATGAAAGTGGATGTTTAGATGTATGGAAGTGGATGGGTAAACGTGTCGAAGTGGGTTGGAGTGGATTTCGGAGTGGTTGGGGAAAGGAAATGGGAAAATTAGAAGTGGATGGTAAACTAAATGGCAGTGGATAGGAAGTGGAGAGAAAAGCTGGAATAAAATGCTTAAGAAAATAAGTGGGTGAACGTGGAATGTAGCTAGAAATGTGGATGAAAAACGTGTGCCCATTGATAAATAGATTTTAAAAAATTAGATAGGTGAAAAAAATGTAGAAGTGGATATAAAATGGATAGACGGAAGAGAGAAGCGGAGAAGAAGTGGATAAAGAGGGAATATGTAACGATATAGTTAAACCGTGGATATAAAAGTGGATGAACGCAGAAACAATTCGATGGAAAAGTGTAAGAATAAAGAACTAAATGACTAGTTAACCCACTCGTGTATGGCATAAAGTAGATCCCCTTGGCACTGTAATTTTAGTTTACTAATAGTTTTTACACACAGATAGTTGTGCTTTCAAGGAGTCAGTAAACTCTTAACCCTTTCTATTTCACCTATTTACCCTTTTCATGATTTTTCGAAAGTTTCGTTTTTATCTTGATGAATTGCAATAAGCATAATGTCAATAATATGACAATATTGATAATAACATCAAAAAATAATTCTAAGAGATTCAAGGATTGGGGAAATCACGAGCGGTTATTAGGACTTGCTAATCGATTCCTTGGTGGCCATCTACAAAAAAAAATAAAAATAAATAGAATAATTAAATAAATAAAAAAATAAAAAAAATAATAAAAAAAACTTAACACGCATATATTTAAGTTATTTAAACAAGCATATACATAGAAAAATTTTTTGCGATTTCCTACGTGTTGTGTGTGGCCGCCCCCGTGCGTAATATTTTCTAATGAGTAAATCATTTAATGTTTCTCTAAGACACAGTCGACAAACGGTAGTTGTGTCATTGTGCCTGTGTGCATTGTGTCTGTGATGTATGTGTGCTTGTGTGTGTGTGTGTGTGTGATGTGTGTGTTGTGTGTGTGGTGTGTGTGTGTGTGTGTGTGTGTGTGTTGTTGTGTTGTGTGTGTGTGTGTGTGTGTGTGTGGTGTGTGTGTGTGTGTGTGTGGTGTGTGTTGTGTGTATGTCTTGTGTGCTGTGCGTGTGCTTGTGTGATGTGTGTGTGTGTGTCGAGTGGTTTTGATGTCGTGGTGTGTTGTGTGTGGTGTGTGTGTGTGTGTGTGTGTGTGTGTGTGCTGGTGTGTAGTGTGGTTGTGGATTGTGTGTTTGTTGTGTGTGCATGAGA